CCTTGACGAGGCGTCTAAGCTTTGTTGTGATAAAAAGAGGAGTCATAACCACTTCTTTTAATTTCCAAGTTAGAAAAGAAATTTAACTGGGTGAACAGGTGTTTTTTTTGACTTTGGGTAGGGACATAAGCTTGGGTTGGCTCTCAACAGTACAAAAAGGGAAAATTAAATGTGGAAAAATTTTAAAAATGGGTTTCACCCCCGTGAGGGACAAAATTTTAAAAAAACATGTAACCTTAATTTCTGACAAGGAAAAACTTTTAATGGTGTGGGAAATTTAAAGAAACAGACTAGTCCCCCAATGTGCCTTTTAAAATGACCATTACCCATTTTCCCAAGGGCCCCAAGTCCTTCAATTCTAAGAAAGGTTTTAGAGAGGGAGGAGCCGCTAGAAAAAAAATCCCCAGCTAGGAGAGGGGTGGTTTTAAAAAGGTTAAAGGTAAGAGGCCAACTTCACAACATCAAAATGCAGGGTGAAGCTGCAAGCGCCGGCAATTTTTGCTGCAAAAATTATCCCTTGAAACTAGCTAGATAATGGAATTTATGGATATACCAAGCAACAAAATTTTTTAAAGGGAAAAACCACTTGTGGACCTGTGGGGGTAGCCGGGCGAGGGGAAAACCCTTACAATTTTTTCTGGTTTCCCGCACCAGAGAAAGCCCTGGGAAAGAATCTGCATTTGGCCTAGTCATTTCCCCCCCCTCCACTTTTTTTTTAAAATTTTTCGGCATAATTATTCAATTTCTTTTCCCTTTGTTTATGATGGCATCTAAAAATTAAATTGTTAGAAAAAGAATTTAAAATTCCCGTGAACAAGGGAGGGTTTATGCTAAAAAATGTGCTCTTTTTTACCGCCCGTTAGGTACCGGTAGGGGTAGCCCCGGCGGGGAACCCCCTACCGGGTACCTACCGACTTCATTCAAATAAATACTACCGCCTCTCATCCCGTTAAGAACCCACACAATTTTTAACCCTTTGAAAAAGTCCGGGAACCCCCCCAAACCTGAGGGGTCCCCCTGGGTCGCAAAATTTTAAAAAAAAAAAAAATATTTTTTTTTTTTAAAGAAATAAGAGAATCTTTTTCCCGATTGTTTAAAGAAAACCAAAAAAACCCCAAATTTTATGGAAAAAATGACAGAATTTTTCTCTTTGGGGAAGTTTTTCACCTCGGCCTTTTTTTACAAATCGGGCCCATTTCCCCCCACCGGTTTGGCCCCATTTTCTGCCCAAAACCATTTTTTCCAAATTTTCCCAAACTCATACTATTTCTTTAAAACTCCATTTTTTCTATCCCACTGAGTACAAGAAAATGCCCCATTTACCCCGATTTCAAAATACCTAATAATGTGATTTAGAAATTTGCAATTGGGCCCCGTTTCACGAAAAAATAAAAAAAAAAACAATTTCAAAATAAGGCCAGGGAAATGACCAGTGCAGACATTCCTGGCTCTAAAATAACATTTTCTTTGCTCATCAGTCATGTCTCCAGGCCCCTCTGATTTTAAACTCTTGCTTTCTATTTTGAATTTTTATTCAAACAAAAATAGAAGACTTACTATTATGCAGACTACTGCAATACTGTAATAATTGTATAAATAGCATCAACCCATTCATGACTGCATATTAGAATGGCTAGTTGGACATTTATTGGACAATGGCATCATTTGTTTACTTTTGAACATTGGCAAAAATCAAACATTTCCCCTACTTTGAGCTCCTTTTCTAGATTCTTTTTATAGTAAAATCAATCAAAATCACCTCCATTTCTATAATATTTTTCCATTCTATCAAATGAGACCAAGAAAATGAGAATACAACCATAAATACTATACGAAAATAGACCACAAAGTCGGCATTTTAATTAAAAAAAACGGTCGGAGTTTTTTTTTTCTCATTATGCACTGCGTGCTCCAGGATTTTTTTTATATGGTGCACACTGACCACACAGACCCATTCTCTCACATGTGGGCCTACCAGCTTTCTCCTGCTTGATTTGAAGCCGCTAGAATTTATGAGTATATATACGTCAAACACGGTACCTCGTAAGACGTATATATACGGCCGCGACAGTCAAAGGGTTAAGGTAAATAATGAGTGTACTGTATGTGTATTTTATCTCTCTGGGCTGCTTTAAACATCGTATATTAAATATGAGACTTATTTATACATATAAGCACTACTCACCTCTCACCCTACATTAAGACTACAAATATTTTAAGGTAAGTAATGAATGTACAGTGGTCCCTCGCTTTTCGTAGTTCTCCGCAATCGTAAATTTCGCCAATCATAGGGGTATTTTCGTATAAACATGGACTCGCTTTTCATAGGTTGACTCGCGAATAGTAGTTTGTCAGGGACGCGTACACACGGTGTGAGCCGGGGCGGCCTCCCTACCCAGCCAGTCTGGCATTGTTTACCAGTGAGTGAAGGTCCTCTCAAGTGCTCCTACGAAATATTTCATAATATTCCACTCATTTTAGTGCTTGCAATTACTAAATAAGCTACCATGGCTCCAAAGAAGGCTCCTAGTGCCAAGCCTGTGGTAAAGAAGGTGAGAAATATGTACAGTGACAAAGTCTTGGGCCATTTTCGGGAAGTGTTAAAGAGACGCCAGAAACAGAGCTCTCTCCACAGTTACTTTGTGAGACAGGACTAGAGTGACTCTCAAGGTGGTCCTAGTGGCATTAAGAAACAGAGAAGAGAAGCAACCCCAGAGAAGCAATTGGTACCCGAGGTGTTGCTGGAAGGGGATTCCCCTTCCAAACTGTAAACAATCCAATCTCTCTCCTCCTCCAGTCTCTCATACACTAAGAAGAATCTCCAATAAAGGTAAGTGTTATGCTGTTAATGTTTCATTCATCATTTCCCATTGTATTGTTTATGTACTATATGTATATTTCATGTAAAAAAATTTTTTGTTTCAATACTTCTGGGTGTCAGGAACGGATTAATTGTATTTACATTATTTCTTATGGGGAAAATTGATTCGCAAATCGTAAATTTCGTTTATAGTAACAGCTCCAGGAACGGATTAATTACGAAAAACGAGGGACCACTGTACTGTGTATTTTACTTTTTATTGTCTTTTAATGCCTAGTTCTATTACCAACTTCATATAAGTTAGTGTAAACTTGTCTGGCATTTATTCAATTCAATTAAATTCAATTCAAGTTTATTCTCTATAAGGGTTACAATGTGGGGTTTACAGGTTTTGGGTATTGTGTGGTTTACATGTTATAAAATACTAATTACAGAGGGGGCCACTAGGACACCTAGCATGGCTAGTCATTTTGAGCAGACTTAGATTAATTCTTAACATTAAATCCTTACAGATTATGGTATTAACCCTTTGACTGTTTATGCCGTATAAATACGTCTTACGTGCCACTGTTTCTGACGTATATATACTCAATAATTCTAGCGGCTTCAAACCAAGCTGAAGAAAGCTGGTAGGCCCACATGTGAGAGAATGGGTCTGTGTGGTCAGTGTGCACCACATAAAAAAAATCCTGCAGCACACAGTGCGTAATGAGAAAAAAAAACTGATCGTTTTTTTGGATTAAAACGCCAACTTTGAGGTGTATTTTCATATAGTATTTATCGTTGTATTCATGTTTTCATGGTCTTAGGTGATAAAATGGAAAACATTACAGAAATAGAGATGATTTTCATTACTTTGACGATGAAAACGACCTTGAAACTCAGCTCAAAGTAGCGGAAATGTTCGATTTTTACCAATGTTCAGGAGTAAACAAATCACACCACACGTCCAATACACATCAACTGGGGAGTCTAATATTCTTTCACTAGTGCACTGATATTATTTATACCATTTTTACAATAATGCAGTAGTCTGCATAACAGTAAATTTTATATTTTTTGTATGAATAAAAAATCAAAATAGAAAGCAATAATAACATAAGAGGGGCCTAGAGATGTGACTAATGAGCAGAGGATATGTTATTTTAGTGCCAAGAATGTCTACCTTGTTTATTCTGGACTCTATTTTGAAATTGGCATCTTTTTTAATTTGCATGAAATTGGCCAAATTGCCAATTTCTGACCACTATATTGGTAGTTCAAATTGGTAAATGGGCGGTTTCTTGTACTCAGCTGATAGATAAAATGGAGTTCTAAAGAAATGGCTATGAGTTTGGTCAACTGGAACAACGGAATTGACTGAAAACAGGGCTCAAAGTCGGCGAAATCGCCGATACGCATATGTCGCCAAGACCGCTAACTTTGCGGGAGCATAATTCCGTGAGTTTTCGACCAAATTTCGAACTTTTGGTGTCATTACCATCGGGAAAAGATTCTCTATCATTTCATAAGAAAAAATAATTTTTTTTTTTTTTTTTTTTTTTTTTTTTTTTTTTTTTTTTTTTTTTTTTTTTTTTTTTTTTTTCAAAAATTTATCGACATAGAATGACAGTTTCAGAAAGGGGCCTGCGACAGTCAAAGGGTAAAGGCTAAGTGACCATCTTAATTTGTGAATCTAGCAATGTGAATGCTTTTATTTTGGCACAATACAAGGTGTCTATATTGGAGTATCATAGGAAAAAATGGCGTTCTGCTTTCCGGCGATGTCTGCTTTCTGGCGATAGCCTGGAACCTAACCTGCCATATAAGTGGGGCCCTACTGTATACTGTAACCTGTCTGGGTAACAGTATGACTTGCATGTACACCTTTTAGTTATACATAAAGTTAATCATTTTAGTTGGTGTGAGCATTGTCCAAGCAAGTTTTTGTAAGTGAAATGACAGCTTAATTTTTTTGGCAGTCTGTAAATTGTAACATTTTCTGTATACATGTGTATGGTTTTTGTGTTGTTTTAATACAGTACTGATATTAAACATATGAGTGTGGCATTGCTGTGATGCTTGAATTTTGCAAGAGTACTCACCGCATCCCTGCTTTCACTTGGGACCCATGCAGTAACTTCCTCCCAATATTCACAGTATTGAAAAATTTCACTGGAAAAATAAAACTATATTCCAGCTTGGGTATCCTGGACACGGGTATAGATGCCATCATTACTCAAGTAGTTAATCCAAAAATCAAGCCATTGATTCTACCTTATGTTGAGGACACCGTCTATACTTTTCTACAAATTGACAAGCCCAAGAGAGAGAGACAAGGTAAGTGCTTCATATTCATTTTTTCTATATTATTGGTAGTTATTTGTGTTTAAGAATCAAAGAATTTTTTTATATGCAAATATTTTTTGCTTCCAATGCTGGAAAACATATTTTCAGAATGCGTTTCATATTCTTCTTTGATATGGCTTAGATAAGATAGATTTTGCCACTGAAGTGGCTGGTTTATTGTGCACCCCATATCTATCTTGTGGATGGATGGTAGTGCAAGACCATGTGGATACATGAAAGTCCTAGGAACTAGGCCCCAAAAGGGTTAACAGTAGTACATCTGGATTTAGATCTACAGTCGACTTATCTATTAGCAATTATATTTAGGAAATTTGCTTAATATGTCTTAAATTCTCCATTGAGCATGTTCTTAGTCATTATGCGAGTCAAGAGCCTTCAGTGATGACATGGAATCTATAATAATTGTAGAGTCAAGCTCAGTGTCATAAGTTAATTTTAGTGCCATTAGGATGGCAAACAATTCAGTTTGCATTGTAGATGCCTGAGTGTTAATTCTTATGCCTAATTCAACATAGTTCCTGTCATTATTATCTAGGGAAGTAGGAACAAGAGCAAATTCAGCCCTACCAGTAGACTCCTGCTCAGATCCATCAGTGTATATAACGTGTGATACGGCTTTACATTCTGTATATTTGCATTAAAAGAATCAGTGAACTTTTACTTTCTGCCATCATTCACAATATTGCTGTCTTGCCAAAGGCTTACAGATACGACAGTTTAAATGTCTTTCTAAACAGCAAATACCCCAAACCCTTCCTTTAGAGTGCAGGCAGTGTACTTCCCACTTCCAGGACCCAGTTCTGGCTAACTAATTTTCCTGAATCCCCACAAAATGTAACCTTGCTCACACACTATCATAGGTTGTTTGCATTGTTGTTGCATGCGGGGAGCAATGATTAGGCTTTGGAGGGGCATGGTGGAGTGGGTTGAAGGGGCATGCCCACCAGGCTTGCCCTCTGGGGGAAGCTATGGGACCTAGGCCTGTAGGTTTACTGTCTACATTTCGCTCGGCAACCTACCACCATGGTTGTCCCTGACCATGACTGGCTGTAAAAAAAAACTTGGTTTCTTTCTTGCAGGAACAGGGCACAGAACACAAATAAAAACATTTATATATACATATGTGGACTTGGGAAAAAAAAACTTCCTACAAGGAGGGAAGAAAAAAAGTGGGTGTGCTAAAACAACATCATGGTCCAAGGCAGTGAGCATCAAGGGGCATCACTGCATGCCTTCCTGCATATGGACAGATACTGCAACACAGGAGACATCGCTGCAGCTGAGCTGTGACGTAACAGGGTACGGTCTCCTCTGGAGCCATGAAGCAGTCATCATAGTAGTCGCTGCAGGGTTCACTCATCCTGGAGTACAACCTACCGGTGCCCTTAACCCTTAAACTGTCCAAACGTAGATCTACGTTTTTTCAACATTTGAAAGTATGTAAAAAAGTAGATCTTCTTTTTTTTATATGTGTATTTGAAAACGTGTAAAAAACTTTGATCTACGTTTTTTTTTTTTTATATTTGAAAATACAGTGGACCCCCGCATAACGATATTATTTCAATCCAGAAGTCTGTTTAGGTGCCGTTGTAAACCGAATTTGTTCCCATAAGAAATATTGTGAATTAGATTAGTCCATTTCAGACCCCTAAAAATACACCTACAAAAGCACTTACAAAAATAAACTTACATAATTGGTCGAGTTGGGAGCTGATCGTTATCCGGGGGTCCACTGTATGTATAAAAACGTAGATCTACTTTCGGAGCACTACGCATGTGAACATAGATCTGCTTGGACAGTTTAACCCCTTGACTGTCGCAACCCCCAATCCTGAGGTGTCTCCTGGTATTGCAAAATTTAAAAAAAAAAAAAAAAATTCTTATGAAATGATAGAGTAAGTAAGTAAGTAAGTAAGAATCTTTACCCGATTGTAATGACACCAAAAAAAACGAAATTTGATGGAAAACTGACGGAATTATGCTCTCGCTAAGTTAGTGACCTCAGTGGTATTTACAAATCAGCGATTTCGCCCACTTTGAGCCCTATTTTCGGCTAATTCCGTTGTTCCAGTCGACCAAACTCATAGCTATTTCTTTAGAACTCCATTTTTTCTATCGATTGAGTACAGGAAACTGCTCATTTACCAATTTCAACTACCCAGTAATGTGGTCAGAAATTTGTAATTTGGCCAATTTCACAAAAATTAAAAAATATGACAATTTCAAAATAAGGTCCAGAATGAACAATGCAGACATTCCTGGCTCTAAAATAACATTTTCTTTGTTCATCAGTCATGTCTCCAGGCCCCTCTGATATTACTCTTGCTTTCTATTTTGAATTTTTATTCAAACAAAAAATAGAAGACTTACTATTATGCAGACTACTGCAATACTGTAATAATTGTATAAATAACATAAACCCATTCATAACTGCATATTAGAATGGCTAGTTGGACATTTATAGGACAATGGCATCATTTGTTTACTTTTGAACATTGGCAAAAATCAAACATTTCCCCTACTTTGAGCTCCATTTCAAAGTTCTTTTTATAGTAAAATCAATCAAAATCACCTCTATTTCTATAATATGTTTTCCATTCTATCAAATGAGACCAAGAAAACGAGAATACAACCATAAATAATATACAAAAATAGACCACAAAGTTGGCATTTTAATTAAAAAAATGGTCCGAGTTTTTTTTCTCATGCACTGCGTGCTCCAGGATTTTTTTTATATGGTGCACACTGACCACACAGACCCATTCTCTCACATGTGGGTCTACCAGCTTTCTCCTGCTTGATTTGAAGCCGCTAGAATTTATGAGTATATATACGTCAAACACGGTACCTCGTAAGACGTATATGTATATACGGCCGCGACAGTCAAAGGGTTAAGGGTTAAGCGAGGCGTTGTCAGTACTTGGCAATTGGGCAGGACTACTTCTGGCAAGCGACTCAGGAGGACATTTCTCGAATGGTGTTGTCACTGGGGCTGTCACTGCTGGCGAGTGTGAAGCGAGTCGTGGCAGAGACAACTGGGCGAAACATCTGGGAGTCGCAACAGCATGCACTGTTTGCAGTGAGTGAGCTAGCAGTCAAAGTTACATCAGCTTTGTGCAGGCTGCTCACTGAAGCTATTCTCTTGACAGTTGGAGTTATACCAGAGGTTAGTCTAAGCGTCCTCAGACTGGTTCTCTACATACAACTGCACTCTGATGGTCAAGGTGTAGTGAAACGAGTCTCGATGGGAATCGTAGTGGGTACAACTCAGCAGGGCATCTACGAGCAGCGTACAATAAGAGCTTTCTGTACAAGGGGCTCAGATGCTCATAACTGACGCCAGGACTAAGTGTCACCTGGCAGTGGTCACTCCGGGTGACAAGTAACACGAGGTGCTACATGGTGGTCTGGGCTCAGAACATACTGTGGTCCACACACACAGCTGGGCTCAAGACTACACAGGGCACAAGGAAAACTTGTACACACCCACTGCACGTGTGGTTGCAACATGACACTTTTCTGTGGAAAAATCGACACTAAGCCATACACGAACATGTAAGAACACTGAGAGGAATTAATTAACACATGACATATATCTTCTCTCAGACTTCTCAACAATACTGAAAATGCTCACTGTGAAACTATAGCACTCGATGTGACATGATGTCAGGCGTGACATCGTGAGGTGATGTCATGGGGTGACATTGTGAGGTGACATCAGCAGACATCTCTAGGTGACTTCCTGGAGTGATGTCATGAGGGATGTCATTTAGTGACATTGCGAGGTGACATCAGGGCAGCATGGTGATGTGAAGTCACCCACGGCAGCATCGTGGGTGATGTCGTGAGGGATGTCATGGGGTGATATTGCGAGGTGATGTCAGGCAGACATCCAGGGCAATGTCAGGCAATGGGACGTCATGGGTGATGCGGGCAGCATGGTGCCATCATGGGTGATGCAAGGCAGCATGTGGTTTGTGTAATTTGCTTGGTAACCCACGTGGCTTCGTGATCCACATGGCTTTGAGTGACCTTGGGCATTCGGATACACAGCACTGGCAAAGAATTCGCAGGAATACAGCAGAGAGGGAGTGGTCAGTGGTGGCGTACACTAGGGCGAGCGTGGGTGAGTGGCGTATGGTGGAGCTAGGACCGTGTGCCTACCTTCTCTCACTTCACAACACATGAGAGAGACACCCTCACTAGACACAGAAATCGCCACAAACTCGCATCTGACTTGCTGAAATAGCCGTGCTGGGCTGAAAACAACAGCAGCACATGCAGGTGATGCTGAGCACTTGACTGAGAAACAGCATGGAATGCTGTGGCTTGGAGTCACTTATATTTCTCAAAGAAATTTGGCAAATTTCGGCCTGGATCCTGCTTGTACCTGTGTCTGGATGCTGAGACTTGCAGACACAACATCAGTATAACTCGTTGTGAGACAGATCTTCTTGTGTAGGGTGATTAAGTGAAGAGAACTCCATTTCCCTTCCTCCTCTCTGGCAAACAACTACTGTGACCAATGCTTCCACCAATGTTTTCTAGGTTAATTGTATCGTTTGCTGCAGGCCGGGATACACAGGCAGTGTGTTAGTGTCCATGGCCCCCAGGGGGTCATGCCAATGAGGGAGAGAGGGGTAGGCCTTATTGACTCTAGGATGCCTGGGTGCCAAGTGAGAGAGGGGCATGGTGATGTGGGTTGAAAGGGCATGCCCACCAGGCTTACTCTCTGGGGGAAGCTATGGGAACTAGGCATGTAGGCTTACAGTCCACAACTCCAACAGCTCGTTAAGTCCCAAAAATCATGTGTGTCTACTTAGTCCTATCTAACATGTTCACACATGCCTGCTTAATGTCCAAGCCCCTTACACACAAAACCTCCTTTACTCCCTCCCTCCTTCCTTTCCTAGGACGACCCATACCCCTGCCTTCCCTCTACTAAATTCAGTTTAAGATTAAGGAGGAAATGAATATATAAACTGAACACTATGATCTGATTTTAGGGGGGCCTTTCTTTTAACTCAGACTATGGCAATGATAATACCTTGAATCTGCTATCCTCTATTGAATTATGTTTTTGTAGGGACATGAATTGCACACTGAAGGTAAAAGTCTTATTACAGGTTCCAACAGAGATGAACAGGAGGAAACTGTTCAGTTACATATACAAAGCCTAGATACAAAGCCTAGTCTCCTGCCTATGGAAACTGATGTCATTTCATCGGAAGAGGATGATATTCTTGCTCGGGAATCCCCAGAGAGTACTCATAGATCTACTCCAAGTCCTAATGGTGACCTTTTAAAGGTAAGGCTTTTGTTTGTGCTTGTATACAGTAGGGCCCCGCTTTACGGCGTTTCGCTTTACGGCGTTTTCCTTTATGGCATTTCGCTTTACGGCATTTCGCTTTACGGCGTTTCGCTAATACGGTCATTTCCAATTATGACCAAAACTCGCTATATGGCTCCCCCCACCTGACTTTCTAATACAGTCACCGCGCCCCGCCCGGTTTGTTTACATTCTTTGTGAGATCCGTAAGCGCTAAGTCTCTCCATTTTGGCTGGAAACTCCAAAATTTTAAGTGTTTTTAAAAGTTATTCATATTTTATATATACTCTGATAATTATACTTATGTATACCTGTACTTAAATGAACTTACATACTGTGCTGGCGTGCAGGTACACATTAAAATCAGTAAGAGTGTCTTATGTCTCGAGACTTCATACTAGTAATGATAATAATAATCATCGAGTCTCATTAAATGTATATTACGTTGATATACATATTTTCATTAATCCATCTATGATATTTTTTCAAAATTATATAATAAACACGATACATAACATATAAAGATGATAAATGCACCCCACAGTAGAATAAATAAACATAAATATGAGATGTGGTAGCAGACGACTTGCACAAGTGACGCCATATTAGAAATAATAATAATAATAATAATAATAATCACGGAGTCTCATTAAATGTCGTATATTACGTTAATATACACATTTTCATTAATCCATGCATGATATTTTTTTCAAAATTATATAATAAACATGATACATAACATATAAAGATGATAAATACACCCTACAATAAAATAAATAAACATAAATATGAGATGTGGTAACCAGATAACTTGTACAGTGATGCCAAGAATAACATTTTCTCTAATCTAACATAAGAGAAAATGTGTTACTGGGGGTAACTGTAGAAAATTATTCCTTTCGTATGTATGTAAGTAAGTTTATTCAGGTATACACAAATACAGTTACATAGATTATCATACATAACAACATATGTGTAGAGAACCTAGGATAACCCAAAAAAGTCAGAGTGGCTTATTTCCATTGCCTTCACTCAGAGTGTCATTTCTTCTCAAAATGATGTTACATGAGAATGGGAGTGTTCTTTATTTATTCTACCGTATCAATGTAGAGACAACCTGTACACAATGTAACTTGTACACAAACCAGACCTGTACACTTTGTTTATAAAACTTACCTTCGCCTGGTTTGTTTATATAACTCTGCGCCTGTCCTCTCTCATGCACTCATTCTTTCTCTCTCTCATTTATTCGTTTTATCTCATTTACTTACTCCTGACCCTACATTAAGACTACAGATATTTTAAGGTAAGTAATGAGTGAACTGTATATACATTTTATCGCTCTGGGATGCTTAAATATCATAGAATATATGTGTGGGTGGGTTGGCCTGGTATGGTAGCCCGGCTGACTACCATACATACCACACTTGATTTTTTACAATAAATGCTACTCATCTCACCCTAGATTAAGACTACAAACATTTTAAGGTAAGTAATGAGTAAACGTATATGATTTTACGCTTGGGATGTTTAAATGTATGAATGTTGTGTAGGGGGGGGTGGCCTGGTATGTTAGCCTGGTGGTTTTCCATACATATAATTGATTTCTTACAATAAATAAAATTGTCTTCCCCTAGATTAAGACATGTTTTTTAAATAAGTAATGAGTGACTATGTGTGTATTGTACTTTTTTTTGTTTTTTTTATGCTAGTTCTAATGTAACTTAAAATTTTGTTGTGTAAAATTGTTATCCCGTATTATATGCATTTATAAGTGGAAAAAAAAAGGGTGTTCCATTTCGGGGGTAGCCCGGAACCCAACCTGCCGTATAAGTGGGCCCCCCTGTTATGTTTTTTATAAAACTATTTTCAGGGCATTACGCTTTTGCCCTGTCTTAATCCCAAAATTCCGTATACTGAAATCTCCCCAATATATTGTTTTTTTTAGCCAGTTATTTTCCCAAAATATCCAATTCTGTTTTGTTGCCCGTTGCCCCTTTTTAAAAGAATGGAAGTCCACATCCATTATGCATATAAGTAAAAATAGGTCAAAATTTAAAATACTCAGGAATACATCCCTGTGACTTAACCGTGAAAAGATTGTGTATTAGACTTCAGTACGACAAAACCCGCATTCGAAAAATAATGGGGTTTTGCGATCATGGGTCAACATTGGGTTAAAGTAGTATTGCCCCTTAGAAAAGGGGCGGAGAGAAGTGATGGGAAAGGTTTTTTTTTTTTTTGAAGTATATTTTTTTGAAGATATTTGAAGTTTTTCAGGTGTAGGGTTTGGGAGGGCAGCAACCCCCCGGGAGGTACTAGTCCTGCAAATGAGTGTAAAAAGAGCTGTGATTGTTTTTTAAAAGGTAGGATTGGATGTCTTTTGTCTGTCTCAAAATAGCAAGATTACAGGATGTCTGCTCTTCTATTACATTAGGGGCACACTACACATACATGAACATTTATTTATACACACTCATCTGAGTTATCTTTGATTTTATTTAATAGTTCTTGGTCTTATTAATTTTCCTTTTATATCATGGGGAAGTGGAATAAATTCTTTCCTCCGTAAGACATGCGTGTTGTAAAGTCAACTAAAATGCGGGAAAAATGGGCTAGACCCCTTTTCTGTAAAGATTACTAAAAAAATAAAAGAATAAGAAGAAGGAAAATTGTCAAAGTGGGAAGTCTGGAATGTGATGGGATGTTGTGAGATGGATAAGAAAGAGATGATTGTGGATGTTATGAATGAGAAGAAGCTGATGTCCTGGGCTTTAAGTGAAACAAAGCTGAAGGGGGGGTGGGGAGTTTAGTGGAGAGGAATAAATGGGATTAGGTAGGGGTTTCAAAATAGAGTTAGAGGCTAAATGAAAGAGGCGTAGCAATAAAGTTTGAAGGATCAGCTATGGCAGGAAAAGAGGGACTATAAATGTATTAAATCAAGGATTATGTGGAGTAAAATAAGATTGGATGTGAAAAAGTGGGTTATAATAAGCTGTGTGTAGCACCTGGAGAAGAGAGGGACGTGTAGAGGAGAGAGAGAGATTTTTGGGAAATGTTGAGTGAATGCGTGGGGAGTTTTGAATCAAGTGTGTGGAGTAATGTGGTTGGGGGATATCAATTGCTACTAAAGTGGGTTAAAAATGTTATGGAAGGAGTAGTAGGTAAATTGGTGTTTGGGCCAGGGGTTAAAATGTAAAATGGGGAGCCTTTATTGAGCTATGTGTAGAAAGAATTTGGTAATAAGTAATCTTATTTTATGAAAACGAGGATAATAAATATTACAAGGTATGATGTTGCACGTAATGAAAGTAGTTTATTAGATTATGTATTGGTGGATAAAAGAGGTTGATGGGTAGGCTCCAGGATGTATACATGGTTATAGAGGTGAACTGATATATCGGATCATTATTTGTTGTAGCTACAGTTAGAGTAAGAGGTAGATGGGAAAAAGAGGAAGGTGGCAAAACAAGTAAGAGGGCGGTGAAAAGTGTATAAACTAGGAGGAGGAAGTTCGGGGTGAGATATAAGCGACTATTGGCAGAAAGGTGGGCTAGTGCAAGATGAGTAGTGGGGGGGTGAAGAGGGTTGGAATAGTTTTAACAAGTGCAGTCATTAGAATGTGGGGCAGAAGTGTGGTTATAGGAAGGGTGGGGGCAGAGAGGAAGAGGGAGTGATTTGGTGGAATGAGAAGTAAAGGGTGTGATATAAGAGAAAGGTAGCTTATGAGAGGTTTTTACAAAGCAGAAGTGTTATAAGATGACAGAGTATATGGAGAGTAAAAAGAAAGTAAAGAGAGTGAAGTGAGAGGGGTGCAATATGGAGAGCAGATGCTAGAGTGGGAGAGGCACTGTCAAGAAATTTTAATGAAAAAAGAAAAAATTTTGGGTGAGTTATATGTGATAGTTTTGAAAGCCTATGGAAAATATGGGATTTGTCAGTTAAAAAAAACAGAGTAGTAGGGGAGTAGTAGATGGGGAGATGGAGGTATTGGGTGTAGATGACGAGAATATTTTGAGAACTTTTAAAGTTAGGAAGAAAATCAGCAGAGGCAGTAATTTCATGCACTGGTCAGGGAGTTACCATCTTTTAGGAGTGAAGGAAGAGCAGAATGTAATGTGGGGGAGGTACAGGAGGATTACGTAAATGAAGGGGTTAAAGCACTGGAACTGATGGGATCTGACAGAAATGTAAAAGCAGGGGGGGATATAGTGTTGGAGTGGTTGGTACTTTGTTTAATAATGTATGAAAAAGAGGGGAAGGTACCTAGGGTTTGGCGAGAGAGCAAGTATTGTCCCTTTAATAACGGGAAAGGGGACACAAAGAGACTGTTAAAAATTAGAGAGCAAAAGCTTACTGAGTATACAGGAAAAGTGTACGGTAGGGTTATAATTGAAAGAATTAGATGTAAGACTAGAATTGTAGGAATTGCGATGAGCAAGGAGGTTTAGAGGGGGTAAGGGATGAGTAGATCAGGTGTTTACATTGAAGCATATATGTGAACAGGATTTTAGATAATGATAGGGAAGTTTTTATTGCATTAAATGGATTTAGAAAGGCATATGATTAGAGTGATAGAGGACAATTGGCGATTGTTGCAAGTACTGTGGACCCCCGCTTAAACGATCACCACCAAATGCGCCAATTTTGTAAGTGGATTTATGTAAGTGCTGGTTTGTACGTGTATGTTTAGGGGTCTGAAATGGACCTAATCTACTTCACAATAATCCTTATGGAAAAATTCGGTCAGTTCTGGCACCTGAACATACTTCTGGAATGAAAAAAGTTCGTTTTAACCGGGGGTCCACTGTAATGGAATAGGTTGGTAAGTTATTAAAGCTGTAAAAGAGTTTTTTTGAGGATAGTGAGGCTCAGGTTAGGGTTGTGTGACCAAGAGAGGAATGAGACTACTTCCGGTAAAAGTAGTCTTAGACTGGGATGTGTAATGTCACCTTGGTTGTTAATATATTTATAGATGG